ACTGAGGAGTCCGGATCTCCATATTCTTCTACTATGTGCGATTAGCCTTTTCCCCGACCACGGGTCTGAAACTTGGCCTCTTTCGACCTTTTCCTTTACCTTTGTCTTTTCTGAATTTTCTGCCTCTGATTCTTTTTCTGCGCTCGCGTTGTCGGTCACTTCTCACTCAGCACGAGGAAGTGCTCTTCGTTGCACAGCGCCACGAAATCTTTTTTTCCGCCGGAGGTGTCATCGGTCACCCAGTAGTCTGCTTCGCCATCTAAAGTACCGTGCTCCCCGATGTAGTAGGTACGACGCTGAAGCTGTGGATCGTTAACGCTGGCTTTGCTCACGCAAAACACAGGGTATTGTGTGCTGTGTGCAACCATTGTTGCAACTAGGCGTTCTCGTTGTTGCTCATTAAGGTCTGCCTGCACCATGAGTATCATGGCAACGAAGTTCCCAGGGAGTGGGAATGCGGCTTGGTGTTGTTGTCGAGTGCTTCTGCTCTCTCATGCAAAATCTGCTGCACAGCGTCGGGTCGATCTCCTGCGTCTAATGCAAGAATCTTTTGACCTTGTTGTGCAGTCAATGTGTTGGTAAATTCGACTGCCTGTGGTGCTGGGAGGTCTCGGTAGAGGTCCTTCCATCCGTGTTGCGAACATCTCGTGGTGACTTCGAAAACACAAATCCAAGCGACCACCTCACGGGAACCACGCCATTGTCGAAACAACTGGACGAAGCGACTCAGAAACACATGTTGCTTACCCTTAGTGAAGAAAGGACGATAGTCAACTCCATTACCTGGATCTGCCAGCAAACGCTTCTCTAACATGCCTCTATAGAGTGCGGTTGCCTACAAGGGGGTTTTTCACGCCAGGACCATGTTTGACGAAGAGTCAATGTCGTCAGGTTGCACCAATCGCCTATCGAGTCTTCATACTCAAACCAGGATGTTAAGCCATCGAAAATCGGTGCAATCTTTGGTGCCATCCTAAGAGGTCTCGGGAACCTGCGCAGCGTACGCATCTGGCCTACGATAACCTGCCGCTAGGGCGGCGTCTGGCCTTGCTGCTGATTGTGTTTGGTAATATGAAGCGCGACCATCTGGATAAAAATTTGATTCATGGCCTTCTTCTGTACCCTCATTATCGCTCACTGTGCGCTAACTGTAGCGGCTCTACTCGAACGAAGGTGCGCCGAAACACACCCGTTAGTTCGGGTTTTCTGGAGCAACTAAGCCCCGCTACCACTTTGAGGGCGGACCCCCCCAGACTGGAGCGATTAACAACAGTATCAACCTGGATCGGCTTACAGGCTAGCAAACCTCACAAGAGCGTGCGAACGAAGGCGGGCAAAACCAAATGTATTGGCGGTAGCATGCATTGCGGAAGGGCACACATAAACAGTAACCATGGTAAAGCAGCTTAACAGGGACCCAAAACCAAAAACATGGGGGGGCCGTGGGGGTGAACTGTGAGGTCACCATGACTAGGCTCGGGGCCTTCCATATTGCTGGCAGTGGATGAAGGAAGGTGGAGGCTGCATGCGAACGAACGCATGGCAGCCGCAGATGGGTGTGCTGCCCACCGCGAAACCCAAGCGTGGCGCGCAGCTGGACGCAGAATGGTGGGGAGGTGCTGTGTTTTGTGACGAGACAGGCGAAGGAGGGTGGCTGCTTCCGTGCTCCGACGCCTCCAACCCCATATGTTCAAGGCCTTCCAATTGTTGGCAAGCAGTCGTTGAAACAGCCGAGTTGTTCTCATAACATGTGGCGTGGCTATGCTAAACGCAAGGTACCGGTGCCAAACGGTATTCACGCGCTGCGACCAGCTGCGATCAACCTTGAGCAACCAGACTGACGCTAGCAAAAAAATCCGTGTTCGGCTGCCGCACCGCTGGGCCTCGCACTGGCCTGTCAGAACGTCTGACTTTTCTGACGCTCCTGTTGCTGGAGGTGGGCACGCGCGTTGCGGCATTCGGAGTGATGACTGCCATAGACAAAGATTTGCCTTGGCCATTTGCTGTGGCCATCCCATCAAAAAGGGTAGATGCCCCCATCCTTGGAAACATGGTTGCTAGGCCTGGGTTGGAGACTCAGTTCACATTCCAGACCGAAATTGAGCATGACAACATGCAGTTGCGACACTCCATGGTATTCTTTCCAGCCGCTCGCTGAAGGCGAAGTAGAGTCAGGACATGGGCAAGTGTTCTTTCTGAGCAGTAAGGGCTCGACGATCGAAACACACACCGTTTGTTTCTTCGGACAACGGCACACTTGCATGTGAACAGTAGGAGGACCACTCCTTTCAGGATCGTTCAAAGGTCATGATTTCTTTGCTGAGGATCACTTCTTTGAGCAAGAATTGGCCAAAGGAGTTCCACGGTCAAAGACCGTGTGGCGCGGTTGGTTGGCGAGTCGGAGGGATCGGACAGTGCGCCGCCCCACGGCAAACCGGCTGGAAATACTCTACAACTGCCCGGCAGCCGGTGGAAACTGGAACGAACGCGCAAACCAAATGGCAGTCCAAGTCGGAAGGACAAGATCAGGCTGACCCATCCAACGTGGATCAAATGCGCTTGCCGACGGCATTCTCTTGAAGCACGCGTGCTCCTTGGACAGCCACAAATGCAAAGCTGCGGTGGTCCTCGTGGGTGCTCACGGACGGCACCGCCATCAGCGAAAATGGAAAGTCGACCGAGATGCCATAAACAGAATGCTTGGGGTGAAGAGATCCGACAGGGGTGGGCAGCACCTCAAGCGCTGAATCAGGCTGAGTTGCTGGCAAACTGATAGGGGGCATTCAAGTGACTTCAGCTTCGCTCGTTTGTGCCGTGTGGAACCAAGGCCAAAGGCGAAGGAGTGAGATGAAGCAACCTCCTTGGCTGACCCCACAGCCACGTCCGGTGTTATGCAATGACGAAGTCACTCGGGGTAGCCCCAACAAAGTGCCACTGGATTGCGGTAGGGAATTTGCCTCGCATTCACACCAGTGTTGCTGTGCAGGTTCCTTCTTGCCAAGTGCTCAGCGAGTTCAATTGTGTTAATTTGTCCACTGCTTCCAAGTTATGTTCCCTCCCTTCCTTTGCTGCAAATTTCACATAAACAACTGAAGAAGATTGAATACATGGTGTGGGGAGTTGGCCTCAATGTGATCCCTTGACTACAACTTTGTCCCAAAATTGCTCTCCAGGTGACCCGCGGAGAAGACATTTTACATTGCAATGGTTTGCAAAAGCAAGAGGGCGTCACATTTGTTGAATTCATTGTGTGTCTCGTCTTTTTAAACAAAATGTTACGCCATTGCCATGTTTTTAAGATATGTGTTTCCTTTAGATGTGTTTTTGTCTCTGCATGTGACCGCGGAGAAGACGGTGTAACTTGCAATCGTTTTCAAAAGCAAGAGGGCGTCGCGATCAAAGGGCAAGTCGCAGAGCATCTGTCCACAGTATTCCTGTTGATTGTACTGGTTGCACCGGTCGCCGTACACGTGCGAACTTCACAAGCGGTTCAGTCTGGGAAGACACGCGGCCAGGCCCTGAGATCCTTGGGGTCCCAACCAGGTGGTATGGGAGGGCACCTCTGGATGCCAAGCCGACCCAAGCAGTCCCTGTTCGGCACGCAGAAATGCTCGCCCGTGAGGAGGTGGGGAAGTGCCGAGCAAACAGAGCCAAGAAAACCAAACATTAGAGCAAGGACGCTACGAACGTAGCTCCTGGCATCGCTACTACGAGCATTCTTACGACTAGCAGCAAGAAGCTATCTTTCAGAGAAATCGCACTTCGTAGAGATCGCACTTCGTATGGTGCTTCAGGAATCATGACATCTCCCGCGCGGCTGAGTGGCCTTCAAACGGGAGGTATGGACCAAGGCGGCCAGCTCACCCAAAACGTAACAAGAAGCTACTAGGAACAAGGGCATCGTTACTAGGAAGAAGGGCATCACTAGTACACTACTGACAAGTAACTTAGGACTTGTCGGACATACATGCCAATTCCAAAAGCCTATGTCATCAGGATTGATCATCCAACATTGGCATTTCCTACTAGTGACAAGAAGCTTGTTTGTTGCGGCGCGTTCTACTCAAGCGCAGCGGCGCAGCTCCACATACAACGGTCGACGTGCGCAGTCAAAATTGCTTTTAGAACGCGAGTTAGCAAGACAAGACTAGTTCTCCCCAACATCTTTACTAAAAGTTCTTGAGATTTGCAACAGTGATCCTGTTGCGTGCTTTGCTGTGGAGACGCTATTTTTCTGCTCCTTGTGCCGAAGCCAGCGTTGCCAGCAATTCGCTACATCCACGTTGCACGCGTCGCGAGCGCAGTGGGGACGGGAGGACGCGGCGGTGTCCCACATCGGACGTCGTTCAACGTCATGGTGAAACCGGGTGAACGGACATCGCGACGAACGAAGCAAGGACACGCTACTAGTAGCTGGCATCGCGACGAACGGAACAAGAAACTTAACATAAAACGACAACATCCAAAGCCCGCTCTGCGCTCTGTCCTCTGCGCGCTGCTTGGTTGGCGCTTCCTTTTTTTGGTTTCACACACCGTCGCGCCATGCCGGAGACCGGAGCACCTCTCTGGGCGCCTTGGAGTGTGAAAGACTGCCGGGCTTGTCAAATATGCTCCGGAAAGAGGGACTCAAACTTGAACAAACAGTAAAGCAAATAATATCATATATGTATTATTTAAAAAAATGTATAATACACATTAATATAAGATAGACACAAATGGGGATGAGCCAGCGATGCAACACCAGGAGACAGGCTGAAGTAATCTGCTTGGCATCTTATTCCCACGTAGCCTCAGGTTATGGGTGGCTACAACCTGAAATTGTTACTTCTCCCCGAAGCACTTCGCAAGGCAGTGCGTTGATGATTGAGACAAATGTGCCTGAAAAAGATCCCATGTTTGAGACCCTGGCGAATCTACTCGAATCTACTCCCCCCAAACATACTAGGAACAAGTGCCACGCTACTAGTAACAGGTGCCTTACTAGTAGTAACAAGAAGCTATTAGAAACAGTGCTCTCCCGTCCCGGTAGGTTCCACGTGTGCTCTCCGCTTCAAAAGCTTGCCGTCGTGGCCTGGCGAAGGGCGCACGGGTGTTCGACAGCTTGGACCGATGCGAAATTACCACGTCGTCGTTTGAAAGCATTTTATGGCTAGGAACAAGTGCATCGCTACTAGTAACAAGTGCCTTACTAGTAGTAACAAGAAGGCCAATACAAACAAGTGCCACGCTAGTAGTAACAAGAAGCTCCTAGGGGCTCCTGGCCTTACTACTAGGAACAAGAAGCTCCTAGGGGCTCCTGGCCTTACTACTAGGAGCAAGGACGCTAGCAGTAAAAGATAACTGATGCAAAAGAGAACTGATGTCAATCCTGGGGCATCGTGTTTCATTAGCCATATCATATCCGTGTTTCAAGCTGGTGAGACATCAAGGATGCTCTCAAGCCGCTCCCCCAACATTGGTTGACAGCCCTTGCCACCCTTGCCCAGGGCATACCTAAGAATTGATCCAGCTGATAGATTTGACCCTCACTCAATGTGCCCCCTCCGCTTTCACAGCGTTTATTCCAAGCCAAATCGAATGAGGTTAGGTGTGAAGCGTTTCAAGCTATCTCTTGAAGCTGAGCAAGGGGGTCAGGGGATCATGTCATGTTCCTTACATGCCAATGATAACCTTACCGATGTTCCAAGTGCACCTGAGGGGTCTTGAGTCTTGAAGGACACCAAGAACTCATAAGTTGATCCGGCCTGAGTAGAAGCATTGACTCATCAAGAGTACGTTGCAAGTCATTAAACAATTGTGCCATTCTGGAGGCTGGTTGGAGGCCATCGCTAGTAGGTTAGGGGCCATCGCTCTCATAAGTCTTTGCTTGGAAGCCCTCGCTCTTAGGTTGGAGGCCTTGGCTCTCAGGTCGGAGGCCATCGCTCTTAGCTTGGACGCCATCGCTCTTAGGTCGGAGGCCATCGCTCTTAGGTCGAAGGCCATCGCTCTTAGGTTGGAGGCCATCGCTCTTAGGTCGGAGGGCATCACTCTTTGGTCGGAGGCCATCGCTCTTGGGTTGCCATCGCTCTTAGGTTGGAGGCCATCGCTCTTAGGTTGGAGGCCATCGGTTGTAGGTTAGAGGTCATGGCTATCCTGAAATTTTCTGTCTGGAGCAGAATCCAACAAACAAGCAAATGGCGGCAGGATTGAATGAACATTACCAACTTGCAGAGTCATGTCAAGCAAAAGAAAGAGCTAAAATGGTCTTGCTGCATGCGACAATCACTCCAGTTTTAAGGTCCGATCACAGGCATCGCGACCACGGGGGCAGAAAGGCACAAACGCGCAAGCAGCTGAGACCCCGGCGAAAATGCTTCAGAGCGCTGAAGTTGAAATAGTGTGCGTGTACAGTGCATGGCATGTGATGTGTGTCCGTGACCGAAACCATCAAACATCGGATTTTCAAGGATAATCTGTTTGTTCCTTTGAATGCCAGGAGCTACTAGTAGCTTCTTGTTACTACTAGTAAGGCACCTGTTACTAGTAGCGTGGCACTTGTTACTAGTAGCTTCTTGTTACTACACCTTCACTTTCCCATTCACTTGGCGGTTCTGAGGCGCCTCACTCCCATCACTCCCAGCGGCCAACCACTCTTGGTTGAGCCGTCGACACTGGGAAATGGTGCCTGGCGACGGGTCAAAGGCGATTCGCGCAGACGCAAACGAAACTGCAACACACTCAACCGGCGAAGCATCCGCATTTCCCGCATCCTTTGTCCTCCGCCGGTTCGGGTTCCTGGTAAACCCTGCATGCTGCCTTGCAGTGTTGCAACAAACTTTGCAACATCATTTCTTCCGCCTTCTTCCGGCGCAGTAGAACTTGAGCTCTGGCCGTGCACCGCATGGCATCCTGCACCTTCAAGATCGCGGGATGGTCCGCTCCCAGCGCCGCCACCTGGTCCGGTGGTGCCGGCGGATCTGGACCTGGATCTGGGCGCCTGGAGGAGTCTTCCACCGACCCCCAAGCGGCTTCCAAGGCATCCGCCGGCGTCACATTTGGGTTTGACGCACAGCTGAAGGTGGATGGAGGTGCCTCTGAAGCTACAGAAGCTGCTACGGCAGCTGGAGCTGCTGGAGCCTTGAGCTTTTGGTGGAGTTTCTGCGTCAAGGTCTTGTGGTCCAGGCTCATCTCTGGCGCAATTTGGTGCAAAAGCTCCTTCAGTAAGTGAGAAGAAGATACCGGATCCACGCCCAGCATACCTTCTCTTCCACCCTTTTCACTCCCTTCAGCACGAGCCTTGACTGTAGAGGGAGGATCTTCAGCCTCGACGGGCTTCTTCCGCGGCAGGACCTTCGGCCGCTTCGGCAGCTGCCGAGCCTGCTTCGTGTCCTTCGGTTCCTTTGGGTCCTTCGCTTCGTTCAGGTCCTTTGGGTGCTCTGTCGTCTTCTGCGGCTCCTTCGGAGCGTGCGGCGGATCGGAGGATGGCTGTGGCTGTGCTGGCTGCGACTGTGATGCACTGGAGCAGCTCAAAGTGCTCAAAGTGCCACCTTCTCTCGGTGCTTCTTGTGCCTCGGTCTCCGCCTGCGTCCTCTTCCGTGGAAGCACTTTCTTTGGTGCGCTCTTCTCATCGGCTTCTGCGCTCACTGCCTTCTTCTTCGGCAGCACCTTAGCTTTCTTCGGCTCTGCCGCCTTGGGCTTCGCCACCTTGGGCTCCGCCACCTTGGGCACCGGCTCCGCAGCTTGGGGCTTCGCAGGTGCCTCGCTCCGCACCGGCTCCTGCGGCACCGGCTCCGGCGAGGCGCTTCCCAGCGACCGCTGCAGCGACGCCCGGATCGCCGCGTCCAGGTCGTCGGGCTCAGCCGCAGCGGCAGCGGCCTCCGCCGCGCCGGGCTCGGCCTTGACGCCGCCGTAGAGGTCCACCGCCACGCCGCACTCATCGTCCGAGTCCACCTGCTGGACTGCTTTGGACACCTGGCCGCCAGCGGTTGGGAGGGCTATCAGCAAGAACTTCTTAAGCTCCCAGAGTCCTACAGAAACGTGGATTCCCTTTCCCCCCCCCTCCACCCTAGGCGCCGCACCTCATTCGCCTCGTCGCTCTTCCTTTCCTTTCCGTTGCTCTCCACCACGGGCTCGGGTGGACGGGTCTCATGCTCCACAAGCCGGGCGGCCAACTCCTGGGCCACCGGCGAAACGAGGCACGTACCGAGCGTGGGAGCTACCAAGCGTGGCCGTGGTCGTCTGGAACAAACTGGATAGTCTGTCTAGAATCCATGGCCATCTCCATCCCTCATTCTGGTCCACTCGCACAAGGCCCCTGGTGCTGGTGTCGAGAGGCAAAGAACACCCGCTACAATGAGAAAGCAAAACACACATGTCGATCTTTTTGTAGTAAGACCCTGCAAAGACCCTGCAATGGCCGGTTTGGACTAACAAGAAGCTACTAGGGTGGAGGCCATCGCTAGTAACAAGGGGTTAATGTGCTAAAGAATGTCACGCCGTGTTGGGGCAACGAGTGTCCAACTGACGAGACTCCTTGCGAGTGCCGACCGTGTTGAGGCCCCGTTTTTGGAGCTCTGCCTTCAGCTCAGGCACCTCAAGCCGGACAAACAGATCCACTGAGTGGATGGCCTTTGTCAAAAGCATACTTGATCAAGAGAAATAAATACACCAGCATTTCATGTTATTTTACTACAACTATAGCAAAGGCTACTAAAGTTTAGTTCATGCCCAACGACCTAAGGCCGGAAAAGGATGTAATGTTAGCGTGGGGACCTGCACAAGTTTGGAGGATGTTCTGGGATGAGCGTCACCTTCCAAACCTGCTGTGTCTGTGTCACGGCAGTGCTTCGTGCCGTTTTAGGCACCCCTGCCTTCAAGAGCCCGTAGAGATTTCTGGCGCTGTCTGCGCTGGCTTCCAGCATGCAAACTAAAGATCACTTGAAGTCGGCACCATGGCAAAAACGCGAGTGACTAAGGTTGAAATGATCCGGATTCAAACACAGTTGGCCGGATGCTCCAGCTTCTTGTAGCTCGAGATTCCATCCAGTGCGGTTTTGGCTTCACCAGAAATCATCAGGGTCCACGTATGCGAGGGTTTTGGAGCCCTAATGACCGGGGGGTCGTCCTCCAAAGTTGGATCGAAAGCATGAGAAGTTGGAAACGACATCTGCACAAATCTGTGCCCTTCAAGCAAGAGTTGACTCTCCATTTTCGTGACCAAATCGGAAGGGACTCTCGTAATCGAGAAAGGTTAGTTCTGATGTCCAAGTTTGCAGCTTGAGATGAAAGACCGCACTCGTGGGTGACTTCTTCAGTTCTCTTGTTTCCGGTGTCACTGTGTCAAGAGAGAACATGAGCTTGTCCTTTTGTTTCGGTCCTGAGAGGGTTTGAACCCTGAAACTGCAGCAAGCGGCAACAACCCTTGGTGACGATCCTCCTAGTTGTAAGGCCTTCCAACTGACCATTACATGGAGAGTCTCCGCTTCATCGCAACAACGAGCTTGTCTAAAGAATGGTTGGAGATAGTCCTTCTCATCCATCCCAGGTCACTATCAGCCCTCCAACACTGCGGACGCGACAGCGCAGTGACCTGCTGTCACGGTCATTGAAAGATCGACCGTTCCACGGGTGCGTTGAACGTGGACTGCGCAGTCGTCCACTTCGATGTCGATGGCGAAACCGTTTTCAGACGTCCGTCCGTCCAACCCAAGATACCCGAAAAAAAACACCAAGGTCGGCCTCATGGGGCAAGAGCTGCTGTGCCTGGAGAGTCGGGTTCCGGTGCCCACGCACCTCTCTACCCCGCGCAGCCACGTATGAAAGGTCTGTGCATCTTAGCAATAGTATATCTATTGTGGATTTCACCGTGTATCCTACCGAGCCACCTTGTAAGAACCCTGTCCTACCGCCCCTGTCCCCGACCCTGTTTCTTGTCTGGTCTCAAGCGCCGCGTCCCACCCTCCACATGGCTGCGAGTAAGGTCGAAACGGGTTCGATCGGTCGGCAATGCTGGAAAATCACACTGGTTAAAAATCTTCTATCTTCTAGCTTTCTGAGTTTTTCTTTATCCATGCCAGCCGATCTCTCCGATCTGCACGTTCTTTCAATCGTGCCATTTCATCGTAGAGGCTATATCGTCCGATAGCCAAACACTCTCGAAGCATCCGACCGTCCATACTCTTAGTCAAACTATCAGCTAGCTGAGCCTGACTATGGACCCACCTCATCCTACAGTTCTCTTGAAGACGTTCTCTGATCAAGATGCACTCAAGAGTCGTTCTATATTCCTCACAGCTGGGTGTGGATGTTCGGGTGGTAATATCATAGACTGATTTACAGTCTGTAGCAACAACTGAAATTGGAGCATCTGCCAAGATCTGCTCTGGAGCTGCGATATTTATACTGGGATCCTTCGTCCACTCCCACAACAAACGTATCCACGACAGTCGGTCCAATGCCCCACTTAGAGCAACCGCCTCAGCACTCAAAGTGGATCTAACAACCCTTGGGATCTTTCGCGAACTCCATGCGATCGGACAGACAATGCCCACTTCATTGTTCAAAAGCGCTGCTCCTGTAGCAAAAATCAAGCAACCTTGCCGAGAAGAGGCTTCTTTATTGGTTGCAAATGATGCATCAGAAAATGCGCAAAACGTGGTTTCATACAGCGGTATGGGCAAGATGTGAAGACAAACATGGTGAGTCTTAGCTTCATGCAACACCCGGTTCACCACCAAAAGATCCTCTACCTTTGCTCTAGTCACCTTTGACTGAATCTCCCCTACCTTTGCTGAAATATCAGGGCGAGTATTTACAGCTGCATATTGCAATGCACCAATCAGTCTTCGAAGTTCTTGCCTCTCTGAGTCAGTCACCGCTGCATTGGGTTCTGAGCGTCTCGATTTTGGAATCATGATGGGCTCAATTCTTTCGACATACTCTCGCTGTTCAACCTCAATAGACCCATCTGGCCATTGAAAATATCGGACACCACAGAATACAAAACTCTTCTCATGATATGCACCAAAACTGTACTTGGCTTGCAATTGTTCAAGGATCGAGTGAAAATACTGGTCCCCACCTCCCAAACCATCATCGACATGGATACCAATCATTCCCCTTACCTGAGGTTTACCATTCTCCCCCATAGTCACCAACAACTGAACAAGCAACTATCGAATGGACAAACCACGAATCCAAAAGATTCCAGGCGCTTCCTAAATGATTTGTACCATAGGTAGGGACCATCCACTCTACCATAGGCTCCTCCTTTCAATAAGCACTGATCTCCAGGTCGCATTTCAAGCGCCTTGGATAGTTCTGGAGGAACATCTAAGCCAAGTCGTCTCCCATCACCCTCTCCTTTCAAGAAGGCCGTGGAGACATCAAAATTGATCAGGGACCAACCTCTTGCCGAGACATTTTGCAACAAGACCATGCGCCCATCCTTCGATAAGGTAGGGGCATCGTTAGGTACTGTCGACAAGTCTGGATCAGTATAACCCATGCAAAACTACCAACCTGGCTTTCGCACGACGCTCCCCCCCTGGTTGCTCTGGTGGTTTCCAAGTGAGAATCCACCGACATCGCATGATCTCTTCTGGTTGCAATGTCCCTTGAGTGACTCGCTTCACAGTTTCATGATTCAACCAGGCCTTAATTTCTTTCTCCTTGGCCTCACTGAATTTTGCTCGGTCGGCTTCATTCAAATCATTCCATCGGACCTCAACCTTTTCTTTGCGAGCATTGGATATCACAAACGTATCATAAGCAAAACACACATCTGTACCATGCCTAGCATCAAAGGTCATTGTTGGTCCGGCATGAAAAGAAATCTCATAACATGGACACACTGTGCTTGGAAATGAATGCTCATCGCCAAACACAAAAAGTTCATCATCTGTCTCTACAGGAATTGGAACTTCGGATGCATCCATAGGTTCATCCATGGTGTCTTCGGGAATCACGGGCGCTTCAACTTCCATGGGTTCCGTGGGGGTGTATTCTGATGCTGGTGGGGTATCTGGGTGTGACACTTCATGTGACACTTCACTCTCAGGCTGGCTACCAACCCCTCCTCCTACTTCCGGTGGAACATCATCCAAAGCTACAAAATCCCCACAACTACTTGTGAGGGACCATGCCATCTACCTCTCTCACTCCTTCCCCCACCCTTCTGTCGTCTCCAATACAAAACCCAATCCCCCTTTTCAAAGATCATTCGATCGGGTCGACTTCGTCTCAAGAGGGCACGCCTGAAACTGCTGTCGTTGTCGGCGGTGATGAAGCTTTTACGGGCTTGCTCTCGTCTTAAAAGACTCCTTCGAAACAATTGTCCTTCCGTGGAGTCACAATCGGCTATGGCATGGCTCCCGGCTTCTTCATCCGACATCAACGAACCCGGAATGGATCTTGATTTCCCCAACAAGGCTTGTTCAGGTGTAAAACCCCCAATCCTACTCAACGAGTTCTTTGCGTTGAACACCTGTCTCAAACACCTACGAAATTCTTCCTCCGTGTCAATTGGGGTTTCGTTGTCCATCCGAGTCAGCATGTTCTTAATGATCGCCCCATGTCTTTCACACCTGCCAAGTTGCCAATGACTTTCGCCTGCTGACATAGAGACCTTGATGTTCTCCTTCTGAAGAAAGGTCGCCCAAGCATCGTTGACATATTCTCCAGCAGGATCCAAATAGAGCAACTTGCAAGGGCCAGCCCATTGAAGCCAGCAGTCTTCAAACAAGCGAATCTGTTCATCTACACTTCTACGCCCTGGAGCACCGGTGTGGTACAATGTCCCTTCATCAATAAAATGCATGAAATGAAACACCTTTCCCTTAGCGTTCTTCCAATAGGCCCCATCTCCACCTACCTCATCATTGAAATCCAAATCCCGATGGATTCTCCCAGGCCTACTAGTTGAGGGACCCTTCCTATGTTCAGCGCATGTGGGACACTGGAAATCAGCAATGCCCTCAAGGATCTCTCGTGAGGCTCCCCGCTCCTTCATGAATTTTTCAAACAGTTCAGGAGTGGGATGACCAAGGTTGTGATGCAGTCGACGAATCTCTCCTTGGTCTTCACCCTTTAAACGGGTGAATGCTGGCCCCGAAACTGCGATTGGCCTTGGAGCCCAACCAACATTGTGGTCGAGCTCTGACCCCTCAGGCTTTCTCTCCACCTGAGTGAGTTCTTCTCTGGTGGAGACTTCTTCAACCGCGTCTTTTGGACTCCCAAACATGGTCAACGACAATCTAGCTGGTCCACATGCTCCAACCCGCTTCAACTTAGACATCCTCAACCACTCCTGGGGTGGTCCAACATCAACCACTTCACCACTAGTTCGATGGACATAGACGGTCCTTCGAAGCGGCAGGTCCTGTGTCTCCAGCCCATTCTTGAGAATCCTATATCGGTCTGTTCCCCGACAGGCGATGAAGGGGCCAAGATTCATGTCCTTTAGCTTTCGGGCCACCCTGTCAAACAGCTCCCCTTGGGTCACCTCCCAACTACCTACTCGAGGGGCCCCTTTGGAAACATCCTGCAAAATTTGTTCCCAGGTCTCTTCATCTTTAAATGCTTCGGGACAGGGTTGCTTGTATCCACAACGACGGCGCTTCAGCTGAAGAGAACCAAGTGCTGCCTCCCTTGGTTCCCCCGGTCGTTTATGCCCTTCGTTTTCCTCAAAACCAGCGAGCAACTCCTCTACTAACAAAGGGTCTTCCTGCCCCTTCATCGACAACAACAAAGCCCTCACAATGTTTCTAGCCAAACACGACGTGTATGCTGCTGCAAATGCTGAAATGTTTTGTCTGTTGCCTTGTTGGTTGTGTGTCCCTTCAATGGTCTGGTGTTCGTGAGTGTTGTCACACCATCTTCCATGAAGAACTCGATGAACTTCTCGCGAGGTGGTCAACACATGCGTTCTCTTTCTCAAAAATGAGTCCTTCTTGGGCAGATGCAATCTCCCAACTTGGCATTGATCAAACGATGCCTGCAGCGTGCCTTCCAAAATCTCTCTTAACTCGTTTTGTCGAAGCATATCTGAACCGGCGGGTTGTTCCAAATGAAAATGTCTTCCATGTGCAACTTGTTCCCAAAATAACATGGTACACACTCTCAAATGAACCCTCTCTCTCTCTCGCCTAGAATCCGTTGTCTGATTTCTGGGTCTCTACTCATGTTCAACCTCGAAAAACCACCCCACGCTTTACAGTCAGGAGCTGCCCAAATGTGAGTAGGTTCATAGAGTTTGACCCAGGTCATTAATTTGTCGATTCCTTCTGGTGTGCTTAGGTCTCCATCTCGTTTCGTGAAACGAATTGCTCCCCCAAAACGACTCATCTGTGAGGTCAATTGGGAACCCTCAAAACAATACACCTCCAGAAGGAAGACTGGCCGATTAAGATCTGGATCCTTAGGCGGTGTCAGAGTCTGTGGACCACGTAAGGGTAACTTACTTAGACCTTCTTCAATTTGGGTTGTCACTGTCTCTAACTGTTGACAAATCTCTGACGTGGTCTTGTCTCTCGACTTGCCCTTCCGAATTGTCTGGTCATTGTCCCTCACAAATCCTCGTGGAGAGCCATCTCGTTCACAATCTCCTGACGATCGAGCTCTCTCTGCAGAATGGCCATCTGGGTTCGTAACTCCTGTGCACGTTGATAGTTGGGTTCGACCAGCATCGATGATGTCGACGGCGGTTCTGCCAGGCTGCGCTTCTTGTCCGGTGTTGACTCCAGCATCTTTGTCCCTGGCATGGGAGACTCGACATCGATGGGCGCTCACTCTGAATCCGTCTTGGTTGACATTGCTGAGGTGGCACTTTTGCGAACTGGAATAGGTCCCTGCGCAACCATCTGCTGGGACATCTTCTTTTTCATGGCCTTGCAGTAATTCTGAAAACTCCGCATGTCGTTTGACACCAACCTCGTGTGAGACAGGATGTACTGCACATACTGCGGGTCGTTCTGGAAGACCTCTTGAAACTCCTTCTTCTTGTGCTTGCCACTCTCGAATGCCTCTTGTCCCCACTGAAGGAGATTGTGGATCCCCTTGGGTTGGCTGTAGGTCAACCTTTCGTCCGATGCCTTGCTGGTCAATGACAAGTCCTCCTCCCCGGAGAGTTCCTCCAACTGGAACTGTGGGACCATCTTCTTGAGCGCCATCAGGAGATTGGCTCTCACGGGGATCGGAAGGCTTGCACGCTTGAGTCAAAGGCTGTCTCTCATTCGAATCGTTGGTCTTTCTCGTTGAAATCCGAGCTGCGTTCACGGAGTCTCTGGTCGATGCTTGCTTAAATTTGCTGGTGCATTCATTGCGAATTCTGTCATGCATGCCATGTTCCAGGTGGGTCTGAGTTGTGTCCGTGTTGTCCTCTGTCGGTGTGTTGTGTGTGTGGAGACATGTTTCTCCAGTTTCATCTTCAAACACAACCTTCAACAAATCTCGAATTCGAACACAGTTTAACTTCTTTCGAACCCTCCTCATCCTAACCACATCCATGCTCCCATGAAAACGAAGCTCATTCATGTGGGGATCAACTACCCCTTTCATACCCTCAACCACAGCGTTTGAGATGAGGAACGGTGTATTGCCGGGCACGACCTCGACACGCAACCAACCTTTTCCACTCCTTTCAAGAAAAAGTGCTTCCGTGCTCTGGAGCAAGCCACAATTTCCAAACCTGAAAACACACTTGGAGGGCCCCCGCTTAATCCTGACCCCTTTCAAGGATTTCAACAAAGGCTCCACTCGACTGCTCCCTATGATGGTCCGACTTGCCCCAGTTCATCCGAGCCTTCCTCTTCCGCAAAATGAACTGTTTCAAACTCTGGAAAACTGGCCATGGGTGGAAAGGCGGTCTTCTCCTGGCCTTTGGCCTGGCGTGTCGTTGCTGAAGCGTCATGATCAGGCCACGACATCCTCCGAGCCGATTGCAGTGCATGTTTCATCAATCCTTTAACCCGTCCTCCGTCTGAAACCATGAAACACTCTCCTACCAAGCCTGGATGGTTCTTTGGTAAACATGTCGTACAATCATGCATGAGGTTCCAATCATTCTTAAACACTCTAGTCCTGCGATCGAACCGAATTAAACACGTCGTACGAACGTCATCCTGGAGCTCATCCGGCAAGGTCGCTGTGAGTTCCTCGGGCAGTTCTGCCAGATTGTCCTCGGCCATGCTCACCATCTCATTTCCTCGAGCTGCTCGTTCCGGGCATTCTCTCTTCCAATGGCCAGGTTTGCCGCACAAACGACATGTCGAATTCGCTATGCGCTCCGCCAGCGTTCGACGACCCGGTGGTGCAAACTGGTTTCCTTTGGATGAACCCTTCTTCCCAAACCCTTTTCCTTTCGTCGCTGGCCAAAACCCCCGATGCCGAGCACGTTCACGAAGTCGGGACCGGGCCTCCTGGTAGGCAGTGAAGCAACTTGAAAGCTCCTCGGATTCCTGAACCGCCTCAATGATCTGGTCCTCAAACTCGCTCACAAAGATGGCGTCTTCATCGCCTTGTTGCATGAGCGAAGCAAAGACACTTTCTTCATCAATCTCTTCATTCACAAAAATACCATTTCCCTTGGCATTGTGTGGATCTGAACTCGTGTCAATGTCCTCCTCCACTGCATGTACATCATAGGTTTTCAGCTTTCCCCGAGAGGTTCCCTGCAAATCCTGAAAGAACCTTGAACCCAAAAGCCTAATAGCTTCTCGGGTGGTCTCATACTTTAGGATCCCATTGCTGTCCACGATGATGCGCTTTTTCTCTTCAGAGGAAAGGGATGAGTGCCTGACCAGTACATGCGATTGAATCTCCTTCAGGGAAACTTCATGGTCCTTCTGAAGGAGGTCCTCGAAGCATGCTTCATGGCGAGCAATGTAACTGTCGTTACTTTCATCTTGTTTCTGTTGGGTGGAGTAGATCGCCCGCTCAAATTTCAAATTCCGATCTTCGGTCTTGAAGCGTCCCCACTGCACTCCCAAAGCATCTAAAATTGCCTTGCTCCCGTCTTTGGACTTCAGTCGTTCGGTGGGAATCTGTGATACCTTCTTGAAGGCGATGGCATCACACTGCAAGACAACCCTTGGTCCCAAATGTTGAATGTGTTCTTCCGGCCACATGGAGGAAAGGAAAACCAGCTTCTTTGCGAAGTCCTCCAAATTGGTCTCTCCAGCAACGAAATGCGGGATCTGGGCCCACGGCAGCTGCGAAGCCGGCATCGTTGCCATCCCCGCCGATGCACTTGCTTCGGAGGGCATGGCTCACTCGAACCCGAGGTGAGTATGTCAGCAAAAACCTTCTTTTGTTGAGAACCCCAAAACCTAACACCTATCTAAACCTCTAGCGACCTTGCCCCTTGTTTAGGGGCTCCGCTACCAATGTGGATTTCACCGTGTATCCTACCGAGCCACCTTGTAAGAACCCTGTCCTACCGCCCCTGTCACCGATCCTGTTTCTTGTCTGGTCTCAAGCGCCGCGTCCCACAATCCACATGGCTGCGAGTAAGGTCGAAACGGGTTCGATCGGTCGGCAATGCTGGAAAATCACAATCTATATATATATATATATATCTACTGGCAAATCTGGTGTTTTGCTTCCATGTCTTTCAAGGTGGTGCAAAAGACTGAGAGAAAAGGAACACATTTGGACGGCACCAGAAATCTCTCATCATCACTCCAAGGGAACTTGCAGTGGCAGGATTCACCCAAACCTTCTCCCAAGTCAGAAGCAGTTCCAAGACATAGCCATCGGAACAAAACAAAGCGGCTCAAAGCCCTTTTACACCCGGAAAAGGAGTTGAGTATATAGTTTGAGTTGTTCCTCACCCCAGGACGGCCCGCCTCGGCCATGATCTGCGCACGCTCCTGTTGCAGGTCCGCCATCTCGGCGCGCAAGGCGTGGAGCGACGAGTCCAAGAAGCCGTTCGCCTCCCGGGTCTCCTCCGATCCGAGGCCGTGACGAGGTGGACACAAAGGGGACCTGAAGTGGAGCGCGGCGGCATTTCGACACATTTGTCACCATCAGTTGACACAATAAACAATAGAAGAAACTGTAGATAACCGTGCGAATCTCCTGCAAGCATCTTCTCTCATCATTCAAGGCCTCGAGCGGCCAGGAGGCTGCATGTCGATGAAAGCGGTGATAAATCGCTGCTAAACATAAGCCGAAGAAAAACCCTCAGCAGCCGGGCAAGAATCCGCGGATTAGCCAATGGCCAGATGGCGAGTTTTTCAACAAGTGTTGTCTTTGCCACACAACCCTAGGAGCAAGGACGCTACTAGGGGCTCCTGGCATCGCTATATACTAGGAACAAGAAGCTACTAGGGGCTCCTGGCCTTACTACTAGTAACAAGAAGCTACTAGCAACATGTAAGCCTGTTCAACATGCCAGGCGAGCATCACAGCCACGGCAATACGATGGCATAGCACATGTGCCCGCAGATGCGCAAAGGTGAAAGACCCCAAAGCTTCGCTGTTGTGGAATCAGAAAAGAGAGCGTCCTTTGCTCCTAGTAGTAAGGCCAGGAGCCCCTAGTAGCGTCCTTGCTCCTAGTAGCGATGCCAGGAGCCCCTAGTAGCTGTCTTGTTCCTAATAAGAAAATGAAATAGGGAAAATCGCCTTGATGATTTCTCTCGTTATATTAGGTGGAGAGGCCATCGCTGTTAGGTGGAGGCCATCGCTGTGGTTGGAGGCTTCTGTAAGGAAAGCGCCTTGACCAATTTTGTCCTTCTCGGCCTCTTCTCGGACCCCCCCCCTGAACGACATGCCGCTGCCTCTTCGAGCCACTGGCGCTGGGCGGTCGCCTCGCCGGTCGACCCGTGGCAAGTGATGTCCAGGAGCCGACGTCGCTCCTCGTTGGTGTTGGGGCCATGCATTTCTGGCAGAAGCACCTTCTGGGGGGGACCTAAAGTATCCTTCGCTACTAGGTTGGAGGCCATTGCTATGAGGTTCCTTGTGCTTCTAGAATGGATGACGATTCTACATCTTCAAGCTCTCAAGATTTGTCATTGACATTGGGAATGTGGAACTTCTTACTAGTGCTACCGGGATTGTGCTGATTTGGCCTGCAAACCACCTTCATGGACATGAAAACATTAAGCAGTAAGAGCATTCGTAACTATATTGCATGATCAGGCATGATCCCGTCTTCTCTTCAGTATACCTAGAAACCTTTCTTTGTTAATCTATCGTTCTGGCCAATGTTCCTAGTGCAAACTTGTATTCTGTTGCTGCGACATCTTCACAGGTCTTCCGCGATCAAAAACGTCGTCTCGATCGGCAAGCTCTTCAATCACGCACGAGTCCTGTGCAACTTTGGACAGGTGCTCGCGATGTTCCCGGATTTGCCTTTGCGCAAAGCTGGCTGTCCACATCTGTTCACACTTCACCGGTGCCACCATGACAGGTGTTCTGGTAAAGTTTGCTTCTTGAAAGAGCCAAGAGTGCTCAGCTTGCTTCGATTGAGTCATGTCCCCCAAAAGGTCTTCTTCACTTCATACGACATTGACCGCACCTCCTTCCCGCGACCAAAGGAGAGTCGGTCCGTCCTCGTCCTTCCCACGCGCCACGTCCGACGCTTCGGCTCTCGGGCTCTCGGCCTTTCCAGCTGCCGCTGCAACTCCGAGAGGCGAGCCTTTTTCGGCGGCCCGGGAGGTTGTTGAAGTGGATCCCCAAAAAAGGCTTGAAAAAAACATCAGAAAATCACAAGATGTCCAAGAAAACTGCGTGACGGCATGCATTGCACAAAAAGTTCCTTGGGTTGAAGGAACTTCATCTACATGTTTCTTTTGTTCCTTCAGATGCTTGGCGTTCAGTTTCCTTGCGGCAGGCAGTTTGTGAGTTCGGAAGAAGAAGCATCAAAAGGGCCAATGTGCAAAAGGAGAAGAACTTGACTTTTGGATTCCATCTGCTCCCAACGAGTTTGTTGTTTGGAGCAATGTTCGCTACTAGTAACAAAGGGCATCGCTACTAGTAACAAGTGCCTTACTAGTAGTAACAAGAAGCTAGTAGAAACAAGAAGCTATTAATTTAGTTTAATTCTAATAGCTTTTTGTTACTACTAGTAAGGCACCTGTTACTACTAGCGTGGCACTTGTTACCGTTTGAATTTTAAAACGCCTGCGAATCTCTCACGGCTCGCGGGCGGCGCATCTCCGCCTGGGACTCCCGTGCGGACTCAGCCTGGAGTTGACCGAGTTCGATCGGTTTCGGCACGCGAGGAGAAAAGGTGCAAGTGACACTTGGCCGTGCACTTTCCGCTAGGTTGGAGGCCGCTAGTAGGTGCAAATGAGTAACTAGTGGCTCACATGAATTAAATGATACCTGCTGGATTGCCTCGATTTCAGTTGGTGCAAATGACACGATTTTACGAAAACAGCAACAAACCCTTGGTAATCATCTTGCGACTCGTTTCAGTCCGTCAAAACATAGTGTTCCTTTAACAAACAAGGCAAACATCTTCTTGGTGCCTACCCTTTACCCCCCTTTACCCCCTCTAGCTAGGAGGATAGGGTCCCTTGCCTGGAGGGTGGCGGTGGCCATTTCCTTTCGAGCGGCGTGGCCCGGCAAGAATTCAAGAAGGAAGGACTTAAAGCCTGCTTGCCCACGTGCAAGAGACATCGTTCACGTTATAAAGTCCTCGTATGTTCTCTTCAAGGTGTTATAAAGTCCTCGCATTGAATTTTCGTGTCGCATTTGTTTCAGCGAAAGTCTCCTTCTTGGCTTGGGAGACTTTGCTCTCAAGGCTAAAGACCTGACGTCGATGTCGGCGAAATGCTTCGACAGGCTGCCACGTACTTTGAACAGGAGTAGGTCCTCACGACTCAACAGGAGCCATCTTGAGGGTGGTGAACCCCAAGAAGAATCAGACTTCTATCTTACATGCAATGGTTACGGTTACGCCTTGATCCAAGCAGAGCAGCAGAGCTCGTTCTCTGTTTAGGGATGGTCTCTTTTCTTTCTCTTTGAATGCCTTTGGCCCATCACTTTGGAAGTCCAATTACCGCTATGAAAGTGCTTGGTGTATCCTTTCCTGAAGTACGTGGTGTTCTTTTGTCCGTCTCAGCCTCAGCAACCCACCCATGGAGAAAAAGAACAACACCAAGTCTCATTCGAAGACCCGCCTCCTCGTGCAGTCGCTCTGTGAGCACCTTGTCCGCACTGGCAATGGCTTGGAGCTGCCTCCGGAGAATCCCGCGTTGCCAGAGAGAGTGACTCCGACAGGAGATCTGGGTGAGAATTATGTCATGATAAAGAAAGACTAAGGTAAACACACATCTTCTCGGAATTAAACAACAGAACCCTAGTAAAGAGCTGGTTTGCATCAGGCAACAGGACCAAAGGCGGAAAAGCTTTGGATAGTTCCTTGGAACATCTTCGAAGGCAAATCAACTCTTGGGCAGCCACTCCCAGAATCACTCTTGGTCATGGTCCCTTGTTATCTATGTGTCCTTTGCGAACAAGAATCCCTTTCTTTCACATCGCTCTTAGGCTGGAGGCCATCGCTACTAGTAATAAGTGCATTACTACTAGTAGGCTAGAAGCTACTAGTAAAGGCATCTCTACTAGTAGCAAGATCTCTACTAGTAGCAAAGGGAATTACTAGTAGCAAGGACGCTACTAGTAGCTCCTGGCGGTACAAGGAGGCCATCGCTAGTGGAGCCACGGTCGCCATGATGTCACGTAGGACCTCCCTGCCTCCCCAGCAGCACCGGCGGCGAAGCGGCCTGCCGCGTCTCCCGGGCGAAGCCTGAGGCCGGGGAGCCCAACGAGAGCTTCGAAGTTCACGCGAAAACGAGGCACTTGAGACCAAGACATAAGGATCATAAGGAAAAGAAGATCTTAGTGCAGAAAGAAATCACAAAAGAAAAAGAAAGAAAGAAAGACAAATCAGATCTAAAAACCTTAATTAGGTAGAGACCCAACGCCCAAGACCGGTTCCAAGATGCGCAAGGAGTGATGTCCAATCAGGGAAGTCTTTGGAAATTGAAGGAAAGAGACAATTCACGAAAAAACAATTGAACATTTGAAGAAAAGGATGTCAATTGTTCAAAGTGTTTGACATGTGTGGAGTTTTGACCTCGCGAGCACGCCGATCTGTGACCGGAGAGTGTCTAGGCCCTCGAACCGAAGGCTGGTGAGCCAGGGCGGGCACCTGTGACGAGGTTGCGTTTCTGGGTGAAAACAGGTATGTTATTGAAGCTACTAGCAGCAAGGACGCTATTAGGTGGAGGCCATCGCTACTAGTAATAAGAAGCTTTCTCAAACAGTGATGAAAAAGAACTGCGACAAGCAGAGAGAGAACCTACGAATGGAAGCGTCGGAGACTCATGTCTAGAGAGTTGGAGTGATCATCTCAGGATCTGTCAACAGTCTTTGTCCCAAAATATCATGTTTCCACATGTTTAGACATCATCCAATATCAATAGCAGTCAATCCAACAAGTGCTTCAGGGGAACAACTTTTCTTCTGGGTTGTTCCAACTAAGTCAGGGCCATGCGCCGGCCAAGCAGTCCAAGCAGGTGCACGGGATGCTCTTGCAAACATTTACGCACTGAGTGGTTTGAAATACTTCCGGAATATTGAATCCCACTCAGGCAAAAGGTAATATCTCACCCACATTTGCTCGAGTAAGCTCGAAGTAAGCAATGCGCGCTCGAAGTAAGCTGAAGTAAGACTCCACCCTGTAGCTGTCCCAAGCAATTTGCTCAAATCCACCCTCAGGTCGGAAGCTCCTTCCGCGTTCATTCGTTCCATCACCTCCAGTCGTCTTGCCGCGCCTTCAAAGGAGGTGGAGCCAGCCATTGGACAAACAGGGTGACTCTAAAGAGTCGCCCTAAGCGATTTGGATGTCTGATAATGACATGCATGCACGAAATCCTGTGGTGATTGATTCACTGCTATCAGTCCCAACAAAAACTCCGTCTCTTCATGGTTCACCTCCATTGCCTCGCCCAAAGAGTAATACCATGTGGGATGGTTCCAAGAATAGATTTGTTTAGGACAGGGCATACAGGAGTGTCCAACAAAGTCTAAAGTGTCCACATGTCTTCCAAACGCTTTATATAGACGGTACGGAATCAGCGCTTCCTTTGCTTGCGACGGTACGGAGCCCTCAGCTCCACGTTCCGCCATGTGTCATGAAACATGTCACTGTGAGTTGAGCGCAGCGCACCACACTTTTCCCTGAGCTGCGCAGCTTCATTACAGGCTCACTTCCCTTGCTACTAGGGGCTCCTGGCCTTACTACTAGTAACAAGAAGCTACTAGGAGCTTTCTTTGCTTCGCTACTAGGACAGGCTCACCTCCCACCCCCGGCACCATCCGGCACCCAGAATCCATTCAGGTCAGGCCATCAGGACTCAGTAGTGTTGACTCTTTATAGATGTGGGGATGGGGGATCATCATTAGAGTCACTTCAAGCAAGAGGAAACAAGGAAACTTGGCTGAAGGAAACCAAGAAGTCTATCCCGAAAATGAAAAACAAAACACGCAAAAATCATCATTGCTCGGAAAAATAGAAAAGAGTATGTTCATACCTCGGAAAGCTTCCGAAGACTATCTTCGTTGCCGGCCACAACGTGCCAAAGAAATCATGGACTGCTTTTCCGAGCCATTACTTTCTCTATTAGAGCATACCTGGTAATCCGAAATCGGGCAAAACGAAACGGGTCCAACTGCAGCTTCCGTCGTGGATCACTATGAGAAAATTGCTGGAAAGAACCCTCGGCTTCCTGTCAGCCTCAGCAGCCTCAGCAGCCAAAACGGCCTTTTGCGCGATGTTCCTTTTTCAGGTGCTTCCAGCTTGTCATTCTGGAGCTGTGAAACGGACGTGCGGCGAGGCCAGGAAGAGCCACTCTTTTTTTGTTCTTCCAAGTTCTTCAAGCAGAAACTGTTGTGGGAGAAATCAAATAAATCATGGTCCCTTGCAAACAGAGCCTGTTCAAGTGTCAGATCAAGAAGCATTCGAAATCAGATTAGATCTGGTGCTCAAACTGATGAGCAAACATAATGTGTTCAAATCGACGAACCCTGCTAAGCCATAGCAGACCACCAACCCACGGTTGCAAGTAAACAGTAAACCGATGCCGTTTCAAGTCCTAAAACCAAACCCACATCACTCTAGCAATCGCCTTTTAGTGGCTCCTGGCCTTACTACTAGGAACAAGAAGCTACTAGTAACAAGTGCATCGCTTCTAGTAACAAGTGCCTTACTAGTAGTAACAAGAAGCTACTAGTGGCTCCTGGCCTGACTAGGAACAAGGACGCTACGAACGTAGCTCTCGCTGTCCTCGGGCATCGCCTTTGTTCAAACCCAACTCGGGCGTGGTCGTTCGCCCGACCGCGGTCTGGCCCTTCGGACCACCGCCACACGCACGGCGTTGAGACCGGTAGCAATTGACACGGGGCATTCACGGGGTGTCGGTGGGAAAAGAAGCTGGGCCGCCACGGGTTGTCTTAGATCTTCAAAGATGTTTTTGAACAAATGAAAGCAAACAGGGTGAGTTTGGATGGGTTTGCAAAGAAACGTGAAGGTCGCCAAGCAGAGCAAACCCAATTTGTGTTTGGGGGTCGAGCACTTCGCAAGCAGTTCCTGAGGCTTTCTACTACTTTGAACTTCATACTGAATCCGAACGCTATCGAAAAGTGCTGTCTTTATTGGCCAGATGGGCCTGTGAGTCTAAGATGTGTTTTGAGTGACCTCCAGCAGCCACGCTGGTGACCCTACGGGGGTATCGAGGGTATTCCTAGTTGCGACTTCACTAGTCCGTACTACAGAAAAAAAGAAAGGAAGAAAAAAGAAATGTCTCAAGGTCTAAAGAACAAAGAGCTTCTAGTAGCTTCTTGCTCCTAGTAGCGATGCACTTTGTTACTACTAGCTTCTTGTTCCTATAGTAGCACGGCCAGGAGCCCCTAGTAGCGTCCGATCGCTCCTAGTAGAAAGAATGTCCGAAGGTCTAAAAGAAATGAACAAAGCACGCTACCAAGTTGTTGGAACCCCATCGAAAGGGTCTAAGGCTTTTACCCTCACCGCTTGGGGGTTCCAAACGAACGTGTCTTTTTAAAGCACTTGTTTCTATCAGCTTCTTGTTACTACTAGTAAGGCACCTGTTACTACTAGCGTGGCACTTGTTACTACTAGCTTGGGTCAATTTTGAACTTCGGGATTTCCCACCCTGGCACGTTGGCACGTTGCAAAGCGACTTCCTCATGCACATTGGCTGCAAGCCTGGCGCCGCAGCCGGCGCAGCGCGGTGGGATTCAAGTGGCGAATCATGTGGACCGCAACCCAAAACCCTTGGTTTTACACCTGTGAACAACCTGTGAATCAATAATTCACCGCAGCCAGCGTTCCTTTCTCGATGCATCTCGATGACCACATGGAGCACGTGGACAAACTGAAAGAGGTTGATCGTAGCATGGTCAAGCTATGTCAAAACCGGCTGCATCATGACTAGGGGCTCCTGGCCTTACTAGGGGCTCTTTTTGAGCGTCTTCCCTTGCAGAAACCGCAGGAACACTTTGTGGGATCCAGTTTGGATCAAGCCAAGAGACTGTCTGACTCGAGTCGTCGCCGACAGGTCTTGGACACTTGAGATGCTTGGGCATCCACCGAGCAACTCCTCTCAGCGAGGACGTGAGCCCATCCTTTTTCGATACCATCTCTTCGAACTTGGGCAAAGGTTCCAATTCGGTGTCGAACTGAGTTCGATTTGATCATCCAGGACATGGAGACCACAGGAATCGATCCTATCCCCTGCATGGTGTCTGACCTCAAAGCCCAGTCCATGCTTGGCAGCCCTGCTAAGAGGAAGCTCCAGAAGAAGCAGCCACGGACGTGGCTGAATGAAGTGGCCTCCTGGTTTTTGTTCAAAGGTCGAGAAGTAAAGACTTGGACCGGCATCAAGCAAAACCACCCACCTTTTCATGCATCTCGAGCACCAGAAAAGGACTTGTATCCTATATTACGCAACTCTCAATGCCACACGTCTGAAAACAACTGAAGTGCATCCGCTTCATGATGCCCAAAGGGGCTTTCGTTTCTAAGCAAAGAACAATAAAATGCAATGTTCGACTCATGACCTACGGACTCCCAAATCGTCGACATGAGGTGAAACACGTGAACCAAATGGACAAATCCCCACACGAAACAGCCTGGTTAAAAGGACAAATCGACAAGTTTGTGTCTACGGATGGCTCTCCTCCAAATAAATCTCAAACAAAAGTACAAAAGACACAAAAGAAGAACCTCCTCCAAATCTATCGAGTTTATACCTAATTATATACCTTCCGCCTTGTTCCTGGTTCCTTTCAAAAACCGTTTTCACCGAAACCCCGTTTCGGCTCCGGCAGCTCGGTCGTGCTGGTGGTGCCAATGGACCTGAAGACCTCCAAAGCGGCTCTTCAGCGTCCAGGAACCGAAGCTTCGGTGAACGACGAAACGGACATGAAGAAGAAACAACTATAGTAACCAACGTAAAGATAACAACGGAATAAAAAAGGTGAAAGAGAAACAAAAACACACGAAAAAGGTTTCTGAAGATCACGAAAAGAGGTCGAAAGAGAAAAGAAACCCTGTTTTGACTCAAAGAAGAAAGGACAACTGTTGTGGATCACTTTGGGGGATCTGTTGGAAGTGCAACTTCAATGTGTACTTCAAAGGAGGCCAACGACCACTCCTCTTCGTCCAACACGGTTACCTCTCTACAAAACACGCTACTAGGGGCTCCTGGCCGTATTACTAGGAGCAATGTTCGCTACTAGGGGCTCCTGGCATCGCTACTAGGAGCAAGAAGCTACTAGGGGCTCCTGGCGGTTCAAAGAACCTTTCTGCACCGATGACGCATGGGACTTCAGAGGTGTATTGTTGCTCGTGGTTTGAACGAAGAAGCTCGTTGCGGGTTCATTCCACCAACGTTCGCATGCAAATGAGCAGCTATTCTTCCGGCCTCTTTTCCACCATTTAGTGGATAGACGATCTCCAAGGAAAACTGTAAATCCTTGGTGCCGCAACCACTCTGAACTGACTCTGAACTGTCTGAACTCTTCCTGACTTTGGAAGTGCGAACTTGATCAGTGTCAAAACGCCTGGTCTTCCGCAAGAGTTCCTTCCCCAACACAGTCTTTGTCCTCCATCTAACTTGCTTGTGGGTTGATCCTTGAGCACAAGCCTGGGCCACAATGATTGTTCACCACTGGGAGTTTGCTATGGCTCTCACTGAAGGTTCAGGCCGTATCTTGAGCATGCCTTCCCCTCCATAGACTGTTGTCCTGGGTTGTTGTCCTCAAATTGCACCACCAGCGGGCTTCAAGCGAATTGTCCCCACAAATGGCCATGTCCATGCAAAGTCTGTGGAGGGCATACTTACCTGGCACACAAGCTGGTAGGGTGGACGCAAAGACTCTGCATGTGATTATGTTTCCTTTGCCCACCAAGCAGTTTGGGGAATATTGTCAAAATCCCTGTTTGAGTGGGACCAAACCAAACACCTTCCCAACGCTTGCGGCCACAGCTGGGATGAGCCACAGAAACCACAGCCAAGGCACTGTGAAGCTGAACACATACTGTCTCATGCCTCAGGGTGAGATAAAGAAGAACCGCACGAAGTCTCTCTCTGAAGAGAGGAGATGAGAATGAACCAGAGCAGCGGCACCTTGATACTAGTAGTAAGGCACCTTGCTACTAGTAGCTTTTCTTGCTACTAGTAGCGATGCACCTTGTTACTAGTAGCGACCTTGTTACTACATTCAAGATGTAAACCAGGGATGACTTCTTAGAAATGACGCCGATATCAAAAGTGCGA